TCAATGGCACGCACTACTGATTTACCCTTTATGACTTTGCCAAAGACGACGTGTTTTCCGTCTAAATGGTCCGTCTAAGTTTTATATTAGTCAATTATTGCTACAAATGCGATCATATGGTTTTCAACCACGTTATTTACTAAATTTCTTACTTTATTTGTAGTAATGAAAAATTGTGAACCATTCGTGTCTTTTCCCGCGTTCGCCATCGATAAGAGGAAAGGTTGATCGTGTTTAAATTCAAAATTCTCGTCTATTCCAAATCCGATCGGGCAATGAAATCTATATTAATACGCGCATATCACCATGATACAAGTACAAGAAAGTAATCTGTTACCTTCAAACTTTTCTCCGTAAATACTTTCACCACCAGTACCGTCGCCTCTTGTGAAATCACCTCCTTGACACATAAACCCCTATTATTTTTTTTATTATTATTGTGATTTACTCATTTAAACAACCGATAATGAACAAACAACAATTTCGCTAAAAAGTCCGACCTTTATCACACGATGAAATTTAGATCCTTTATAATGCAATATACCACCCTTTTCGCCTGTCAAATTAATTCCATTATCAATAATGGAGTATAAACTTTATGAATCCATCAAAAACTTGACCTTTACCTGTGCAAAGGGCGCGAAAGTTTTCGGCAGTTTTTGGTACTACATTGTCGAACTAGCGCGTGGAATTCAATATTACGTTAACTCGTATGGACTGATATCGCAAAGTAGAAAGTAGCTAGTGCTTACCAGCTCAAAAACTATTCGCCCTTCACGTTGGCCACCAATATTAATGTCAAAATAGGTACGTACTGGCATTTCGTGTTATTGCAGACGATAGAAGTAAAATCAATGAAGACCGAATTCCGTTTTATACATCTACATATCACATGAATTAGAAAGTACCAGAAGTTTCATGATAATCTCTTTAATTATTTATTATCGACAATTTTAATTGTTGTCAATCCCGATATGGAAATTGCGATCTCAATAAATCGTTGAAAATTCAGAAACCAAAATTTTTATTTTAAAAGATGGTTCAAAATGTCTTTATAGTAGCTGCCAAAAGTAGGTGGTGGGAAAATAGTTTTGTTATCCTCATATCATTGGTGAAATTATTAACGCTCTTACTTTGAAACACCGAAAGGAACGGCATTCGGAGCCTTCGGCGGTTCTCTAAAAGGATTTACAGGTACTACGATAACGAACACTCGAGAGCAACTTAAACGTTTACAAAGGGTTTATCTATCTGCGATTATCTTTCTAATGAAAGCCCAAAACTTAAATAAAAGCCACGGAATTAGGTTCCTTTGCTGCGAAAGCCGCAATACAAAGTCTTAACAAAACCGTCCCCATTGATTCGGTGATATTCGGGAACGTCTGTCA